ACAGGGCAATGCTGACTGCAAATCAATAAACTACTGATTACTTAACAATACCAATATTACTTTGGTAATATCTCTGTCGAATAGAGCAAACGCACTGCTCTTTTCCGGAAATAAACGACATGCGAAAGTCAGCTTGGCAACAACGTTCTAGTTGTTTTCATAAGTGCGTGAGGACCTCTCCCACCACCACTCCACACAGGTCTTTTATTGGACTTCAACATAAGTTCATATTTCTTATGTCTGAACGAGTTGAGGTGCTTTGCCGCATTTCGAGGGCTCTGCCGATCTCCGCTTGCTACCTCTTTGTCGTCCAACCATTCCAGAGTTTACAGACCGCCTTTCACGGCTACCATAATCCTTAAGGAGAATACAATGGTGCGTTAAACGATGTGTGCTGTTATGATGTGGATGTGAAGAAGGGTTTTTGAGGTAAAGCCTGTGTGCATATTAGGTTTATTCATTGTGTGAGACGTCACTCAGACAGAAAGGCATACAAGGGCGTTTTTGCTTGAGTCAGTATACTTCGTTTTGTCACCCCGCTTCATGCAGAGATCGCCTTTAGTAAATAGGCTTGCAGAGATTATCTGGCAAGGAAATGACAGCTTCTTGTTTTACTTGTGATGACATACCTCGGTTGGTAACGAAAGGCATTGAGAATAAAAGCAGGTCGATTTGATTATGTTTCTATGACTGTGAAGTCTTCAATTATTCACTCATTTACATTAAGCCGTTATAATAACGCGTACAGAACAGTTTCTAAATTTGTTACATGTCACTATACTCTTCCCTAAATAATACAGCACTCATTTGTGGAAACTGTTTTTTCTGAAGTCGAATTATGCCGAACACCATAAACTCTCGTCAAGGTTTCGGTCTGACACGTACAGCCTTGCCGATGGTCAATGTTGCTTGGCCGAATGGTTGACAGAAAAGAAAATATTTGAGCATCGATCATTTATTTATGCTTATAATTATTGCTGTGGTCATTTTTAGCGTCCTTACTAGCATGTAGGTTGAGTTGACGCGTGTGATTTCCCCTCTCATCTCCGCTTATCGCATTTACGATTATTTGGCCCATATCACTTACAGTAACGATGAAGGCAGAATTGAAGTAAGCTTTTGAAATCATCATTTCACTTTAAGTGATTCTGATTTTTTGACGACGCGCCAGCCCTCGTCCTAATGTTAGTCGTTTTGAGTAACAGCGCCTCATCTGAAATAGTTGAGGGATGATCGATCGCGATCGCCCAAGGAAAGGCTAGTAGATGCTAAATGTCAATTGGTCTACCACCCATTCATACTGCTGCGAGGTTCAGACCTGGAGCTTCATAGCAGAGGTAAATATCTGAGAAGAGGAAGGCGCAAAAGGCTTTGTGATTTATTGACAAGATGCAAAACTAGCCACGAATAAGCGTGGTCTACTGCTTTGACAGTACACGGGACTTGACTCAAAAATAAACAGTTAATAAACAGTATTAGAAGAACATGAAACTGGGTTCCAGATTGATGGCAGGGTGAGTTGAAGAGGTGCGCTTAGTCGAGATAGATGAAAATCGTTGAACTCCAAAAGTCTTGGATCGTCAAGGTCTTCGTTCAACAGTGGATCGATGGTGATGAAACGACACCAACTGCCTGGAACCTTGCAACTCAGTGCCAGCTTTACCGCCTTTTTGACTCTGCGAGCTTCTAATTACGAATTAATTCTTAGTTCGAAACGTCCAGCTGCTGCGGATGACTTCAGCAGCAGTCCTCCTTGAGGTAAACACATGTCGACCGGACGAACCTTTGCCGTGCGATCAGCCGGAGTTCCAACACTAAGTGCTCTCTGCTTTCCTTTCGCCGCAGGCTGTGTTCGAATGAACACCACCCCCCCCCTCTCCTCCCTCCCTCGTCCCCCCGCTCCCCCGTCCGT